GTGCCAGCTTTCTTGACGCCATCATTAGGGCCAGTGCCAATTTTTCCAAGGGAAGATATCTCGTTTCAGCTGGGAGCAGAGTCTTGCTTACATAGAAGATCGGTAGGTGCTGGATGCCTTCACCACGAACCAATATCACGCTGACTGCGTGTTGAGAGACAGCCAAGTAGAGGTACAACTCTTCACCCGGCTGAGGTGTGACCAAAATAGGGACTGAGGAGAGATATGCTTTCAGGTCTGCTAGTGCGCGGTCGCACTCGTCATCCCAGAAGAACTTGGACTTCAAAGTTTTAAAGAAGGGCCTACAACGATCCGAAGACCGGCTGATAAATCTGTTCAACGCGGCTGCCATCCCGGCAAGATGTTGCACGTCCTTCGTGGAGTTAGGACGCTCCAGGTCTTGTATAGCCTTGATCTGTGATGGGTCAGCTTCAATCCCTCGATTTGTGACCAGAAAACCCAAAAACTTCCCGGTGCCGACTCCGAAGGCGCATTTGGAAGCATTCAAACGAAGCTTGTGGCGTTTAAGTATAGCAAACATCTCTGCTAGGTCGGAGAGGTGCTGAGCTTTCTCCTTACTTTTCACCACCATATCGTCGATGTAGGCCTCCATGGTGCGGCCCAGCATTGGGGCGAACATCTTTGTCACCATCCGTTGAAAAGTCGCCCCGGCGTTCTTTAGTCCGAACGGCATGACTTTGTAGCAATATAAGCCTCTGGGGGTTGTGAACGACGTGATCTCTCTGTTCGGTTTATACATGGCTATCTGGTGGTAGCCGCGATATGCGTCCAGGAAGCTAAACCTCTGATGGCCAGCGGTTAAGTCCACCAGCTGGTCAATTCGTGGGAGGGGAAAGCTATCCTTGGGGCAAGCTCGGTTGACAGTCTTGTAGTCAACGCAGACTCGCCACTTGCCGTTCTGCTTCGGAACAACCACCGTGTTAGATATCCACCGAGGGTATTGCACCTCCTCTATGGCCCCAGCTTCCAATAAATTCTTCACTTCTTCTGCCACTACTTCAGCATGGTGCAAGGCTGAGCGGCGCATCCTTTGAATGACTGGCCGTGCATTGGGAAAGACATTCAACTGATGACAAATGAAGCTCGGGTCGATGCCAGGCATGTCGTAAGGCGTCCAGGCAAAGGCCTCCAAATTGGAAACCAAGAAGTTGACATAATCCATCCGCTCGGCGCTAGACAAGGATGATCCCAAGAGGAAGAATTTAGTTGGATCGTTCTCGTCAATGCGCACTTCCACCAAATCTTCGACCGATTTTTCCTCGGCCTTTCTTCCTACGTCTTCAAGGACCTCTTTACCCTCGGGCCCCTCAATCATTTGGACGAACCCTTTGGCCGCTCGGCTGCCATTTACCGCAACGAAGCATTGTTTTGCCATCACGTGGTCCCCCCAAACTTCCTCTATTTGTCCGCTTGGTGCCGGAAAGCGCATGACTTGGTGGAAGGTCGAAGCAACTGCTTGCATGGCGTGCAGCCAACCCCTGCCTAAGATCAAGTTGTAAGTCGATGGAACCTTGAGCACCCAGAATTCTACTTGCTTTACGACCGATCCTGCTTTGACCAGCAAAATAATCTTTCTGATTGGCCATTCTGGCTGTGAGTTGAAGCCGACCAAAGGGGATGTTGCGGGGGCCAAGTCCTTGTCTTCCAACTTCATTTGTTTAAACGCGTCATAATACATAATTTCTACCGAACTCCCCTGGTCGATCAAGATTCTCTTGATGTCAAAGTCTTTGACGCGAAGAGTGACTACTAAAGCATCATTGTGCGGCATCTGAACTCTTTCCAAGTCCTTGGTTGAGACTAAAAGGATGTCCCTCTCTTCGGTCTTTCCCCTCTTCACAGCGGGCTGAACAGAGAGCACTTCCCTCATGTGCTCGGCCTTCTTGATCATCCCTCTCAGCTCGCAGACCCTGGCCGGTTCAATGATGCCATGGATGACGTTGATTACACCTTGCGGGGGCGCTTCTAGGGCGGCCAGGTCGTTTGGCTCAGCTTGGTCCACTGGCGTGGCCTTGATGCCCCCATCTATGTATTGGTCAAGATGCCCCGCCACCACCAACTCCTCTAAGTGTTGTTTGAGCGGCAAGCAGTCCTCTGTTCGGTGCCCTCGTTTTTCATGAAAGGTGCGGCGATATTTTGAATTGAAGCCCCTCTGCGCGCTTTCCAACTTGGCCGGCCAACGGACGAAGGGTTCACCTCGAATCTCGCTCAAAATGCGGTAGATGGGGATTTTAAAGACCGTGGTGATTCCGGTCCGTGCCTTTAATTTTCTTTTGGCATCCCCCGCTGCATCACGGGGAGTGTCAGCTCGGTCATTTCGGTGGCCCTTGTTTCTGTCATCACGGTTTGAACCATGGCGCTGATCTTTTGATCGGTTGTTTGGGCGGTTATCCTCCTACCCAACCGAGTGAACTTTCTCCGTCACCCTTCTGTCCGCCGCGGCCGGATTAGCCTTCTCGGTCGCGGAGGCGGCATCATCCTCCACTCGAATGTGCTCATTGATCCGCTGCATCAACGACTCCATGGTTGTGGTTTGATGCATCGTGAGTGAATCTCGCAGCCTATGTCCGACTGGGAGACCCCGTTTGTATTGAGTGATCACCAGATTGGTGGGACAGTCGAGGATCTCATTATAAGTTTCCTAGTATTTCGCATTGTATGCCTTCAACGAACATCCAGACTCCATCTTGACGCCCAGGAGATGGTCGACCTCCTTCGGCGTTCGTGTGTTGGTTTTGAATCTGGTGACGAAGGCTTCTGCTAGTTGCTGCCACCCCTTAATACTCCCCTCCGGGAGCCTTTCGAACCACTTCAAACCCAGCTCTCCCAAGCTTGCTGGGAATATGAGGCACATCAAGGCGTTGTTGCGCCGGTGGCCAGCCATTACTTGCCGGTAATGGCTCACATGCATGTACGGATCCGTCTTGCCGTCGTACAAAGTGAACTTTGGCTGGTGGAATCCGATGGGGAGTGGTGCACTCTCAATCTTTGGAGACAGCGGTGTGGCTGTAAGCCGCGCCAGCTCTTTGTCCACCAGCGCAGGGGCTATCGCTTTGGGGGCTGGCATCGCCACTTCCTCACTACAACGAACTGGAGCGCTCAACCTCTGCAATGCCGGCACTCTCTGAGCCTCCCGACGGCGCACCCTCTCCTCCAATACATCCCTCAAGTCCCTGGAACGTGTGGAGAAAGAGGATCGCGACGTCGGCGTCGGGCGTGAGGGGCGGTAAGTGCTGTCGCAAGAGAGGGACCTGCCCTCTCTTTGGTCAGAATCTTTAACCCCATAGTTCCTAGTGATGGAGAGAGAGTGAGTCCTCCCCTGGCGGCGACTGCTATAACGAGGGGATGGGGTGCGCTCACTCAGGTTGCCCTCTCCAGCAACACCCTTCCCTTTAATCTGGCGTTTCAACAGCTCCATCTCCGCCGCTCTCTTGCGAATGAGGGCATCTTGGTCCTTGAGTTTGTGCTCCAGGGGCTGCGCATGGGACTCCCCCGGCGTCGGCGGCCCTCTGGACTCTGCGAGCGATCAGTACTGCTCCCGCGTTTGTCTTGCGCACCTCGTGAAGAAGTCTCTAGGCCCGCCATGGCTGAAATATTTGGGGGGCCTTCTCTAAAGCGGACATACTCAGGTGTGACGCCATCGACGATGGACAGTGGGGCTTCGCCGTTGTTGGCCATGGAAATGGTCGAAGAAGCTCAAAGAACAAGGGTTGAGTACCAAAAAATTCCCATAGACGGGGCCAATTGTACGGGGGCGAAATATCCTCTGCTTTCCGTACTCCTTGTACTCCAAGCTTCTCTTGACGGCGTCTACCTGGCAACACAGAAACGGTGAGCTGCTCGGCGGTGGTGTGCCGGATAGACCCTCCAACGATCAAGTCAGTCCACTTGAGGAAGAAGAAGACTGTTAAAGAGAGAGTATTCTCTTTGGGGAAGAAGTTGCATACCTCTAACGTTCACCTTCCTCCACTATTTCTAGGCTGGCCATGCAGCCCCAAGATTGTGCGCGCACCACCTCTGTTGTTCTTCCCTAGACAGGTGGCAGTGCTTTCCTCTCACCACCTTACGCGTGTAAAGATTTTGTCCTCCAACCAGCACATGCAGAACTGCCAAACGATATTGGTGCGTGCGTGGAGCAGATGTCCTCTCCCTTACGCCATTGGCCCAGGTGGCACACTTAATCGGAGTACCACAGCCGGCCGGTTCCTTATGGAGGCAATTCTCCACAAGCACACAACTGAGCTAATAAATGCCGACCTGCCACTTGGCAAAGGGGCCAAAGTGTTACGCTTATGACCGGGCTATTTATGATCGGTCCCACCTGACGGACCGGCCATGAAGCACGCTGGACTTCCACCGTTCTTCATTCTTGATTACATGAAGCCCGTCCATCTCGGTCGATCGGTTAGGCGCATGCCGGCGCTAATCACATCTCAAGTCTAGTCCGGGCTCCTCTTAGCTTAGTCATCAGACACCGCTGTGCGCTCGGCCGCGTCATAGCTCGGCCAGGCATTGGTTCGTGTCTGGTCGGTCGACCTCTCCGACCGTGCAAGTCAGGCCGCTGGGCCGTGCAAGAGAGGAGTCTGCTCGGCGCCGTGCGGTTCGTCATGATCGGCGTTATCGTAGCTCGGCCGTACTAACGCACAAATCTCCCCTCTCAGGTTCCAAATTGTACGAATGTGCTCTTTTGTTTTTGCGTATATGAATATTATGCATAAATTCTATGAGAAATATAATGCAAGTCTCATTAGATAATGGTGATAACAAGAGCCGACGAGCTAGAAGAATTCTCAACTACTCAGCTAGACCAAATGGAGAGAATGATGCAAGACATGGTAGAAACACTAAAGAAACAACAACAATGGCAACAACAGTGGCAACACCCGCAACCCCTGCCTCCGGTGCAACCCATATCGGATTTGCAAAATGATGGATGAACAATAGCCCTGACTAAAGAGTTCAAGAAAATAAAACCACCAATGTTCCATGTGGTTGTGGACCTATTGAAGGTTGAAGCTTGTGTCCTTGGTATTGAAAAATTATTTGAGGTATTTCTATGCCTGGAGACACAGAAAGTACAATTGGCCACTTTCACGTTAGAAGATGAAACGAGAAGATGGTGGATGCTAATTTGTGATGATAACAGAGGCATTGACTGGGCACCGTTTCTTGCACTTTTTTATGAGAAATACTTCCCTCAGTGTGTCCGTGATAGAAAGGTGTCAGAATTTGAAGGGTTGAAGCAAGGAAATATGATCGTGGCTAAATATGAAGCCAAGTTCACCGAATTGGCTAGATTCGCCCCACATATGGTTGACACTGACTACAAAAAGGCGAGGAAGTTTGAAAACAGTCTTCGCAATGACATTCTGGAAAGAGTAAATGTGCTGAAATTGCCCACATATGTTGATGTGTTAGACCGAGCCTTTATGTCAGAAACTAACATGGCCAATCGAGGCAAGCCACTTGCCGATTGGAAGGCTAAAATGCAAGGCCTTTTCTCAGGAAAGAAATCATCAAAGAAACAAAACACGGGTTCTTCGAGCACTTCGGGCTCCACCAGAAATACGGCGCCAACATGTACTTAATGTGGTAAGAAGCGCCGTGGAGTTTGTTACCGTATTTTTGGGGCATGCTATAGATGTAAGGAAATAGGGCATATGACGAGGGATTGCACCCAAATTGAACAACAAAAAGGTAGAAAACTAGCCATTAGCTCAACCGGATCCATCCTAAAACCGGGCAATACTGCGAGGCCTGTTGCCACTAGAGACACAATGAGACAGGGAAGAGTCTTTGCACTTGTCCCAGGTGACACATGGAATACTGAAGCTATTGTCTCAGGTACCATCTCTATATATAATCAAGATGCTTTTTATGCTAATTGATTCTGGCTCAACACATTCCTTTGTGTCTACTATGTTTGCATATAGATTGACTAGACCTCTAGAATCATTGCCATATTTTCTATGTGTGTCTGCTCCATTTGGAGAATCTGTATTATGTACATCTGTGTATCGTGTTTGTGACATGCAAATTGGTAATACAATCTTATATGTGGACTTGTTACCTTTGGACATTCGGCACTTTGATATAATTTTGGGTATGGATTGGCTATTGAAATATTGTGCCACTATCAATTGTGTGACAAAACGGGTTATGTTTAAACCGTTAGGCCATGTTGAAATTGAATTTGTGGGTAATGGGATAGTGCCTCCACCTTATTTGATATCTGCAATAAAAGCATGTAAATTGATCAGGAAAGGGTGCCAAGGTTATTTGTGTAGTGTATTACATCTGTGTATTGATTACCGAGAATTGAAAAAGGTAACGATAAAGAATAAATACCCCCTACCCCGTATTGACGACTTGTATGATCAATTGCAGGGATCAGAAGTATTTTCTAAGATTGACTTGAGATCCAGGTACCAGCAATTGAAGGTAAAGGCAGAAGATGTTGAGAAAATCGCATTCAGAACAAGGTATGGTCACTACGAATTTCTTATTATGCCGTTTGGAGTGACTAACGCACTTACAACATTTATGGACCTTATGTGTAACGACCCCAAAATGCATATCAGAAATTATCTCTATTTAATTATGGGTTAATGTGTTTAATTTAAATATATCTGTTAGAATTGAGGAATTATTTGTTGAGTTACGACCTTGAAACTGAAATTGTCGACCTTTATGGGTTCAGAAATTGAAATTGAGTACATGGTCATGCTAATGGGAATTTTTAGAGCCATTTGGGAAAGTTAATTGGAAATTTATTTCGTCTGATTCGTTAAGGTGTGTTTGGGTGGTTAACTTTGCACTGCGAATTGAAGGCCTTAAAAGCTTCAGAAACTAGAACGGAGTACATAGTTATGATCAACATAATTTTTAGAGTCATCTGGAAAGTTTAATTGAAATTTGATTTTGTACGATTCGTAAGGGTGCGTTTGGCTTTTCCTAATGGTTATAAGCTTATATGTATATATATATATATATGATATGAGTTGAACTCATCACTTTGAGTCCAAAAATGTCTAAGGGAGTGGAAGAGAAACGTGAGAGTGAGAGAGCAAAAGAGAGAAAGCTTCTCAAAGAGAGAGAGAGCACAATAATCATCGAATTTGAACACAAATTGAAGAGATTTAAGAGAAAGGAAGAAGATCAACCATGGAAGCTTGGGAAAATTGAAGAAAGTGAAAGGAAAAGCAAAGATTGAATTAAGGTATGGAAATCTATCTTGAATCCTTATGATTAATGCATCAATTTCATGAAATTATGATGATATTGGAAGATTTGAAACCCATTTGGGTTAGGGTTTTATGTATGTATTTAATTGAGCTAAATTTAAGGAATTAGAACTTGGGTCCTATGATTTTGTTTATGATTGAAGCTCAATCTTATGAATACCATATGAAATGAACTCTAGATTGTCCATAGAACAAGATTTATGTAAGGATCAAGTGTGTTTTTGAGTTGTGTTTTGGGAACTTCCAAGATTATGAAAGATGAAACATTGACCTTGAACTTGAGGCAATGATTGATTTGTTTGAGATGAAATTACACTTGAATGATGTTAGTTTATCATGTTGTGGAGTAATTTTACATGTTTTTGAGTGATTAGAGTTGAAATCTAGCTTAGAAAGTGGAAAAACAAGTGTGAGTAAACAAGAAATTCGGACAGCAGATTTTGCCCAGAGCCGCATGTGCAGCGGGCTTTCCGCATGTGCGGCAGTCCACTTCCAGCACCAAAATTGATTCTGAAATAAAAGCACCTTGTCCCACACGTGTGGCCCAATTCCCATACGTGCGGCCATGTTTCCCACAGGTGTGGGGCACCCCTGTTTCAGCTCAACTTCGGATAAGCATATCTCTCTCTCATCCGGACTCCGTTTTGATTGATTCTTGAGCCTAAATTCAAGTCCCGGAAGTCTAGTTTCTAATGGTGGTAGTCTCACACCCAAATTCTGAGTACACAAAGAGATATTTTCAAATTAGTGAAGGTTGTTCACTTTCTGTCTACTTGTTTCATGCCATTTCTTCTCCTAACCCAATTTTCCTTCTGTTTCTTTCCATTTTCCTTGATATGAATTATGACCCATTGAGGACTAATGAGGTTAGAACCAGCATAAATAATTGGTTAAGGCAAAGTAAAGGTTCGGTTTATTTTATTAATCAAAGATTAAGAAAAGTAACTTTGATCAAGAGAGTAATTCTATGTTCAATATGTTTTGCTAGGTAATTTGTAGGTCAAGACAAGGATGTCGCCCAACTGCTACCAGGAGCCCATTAATATGAGTAATAATATTGTGAAGATATGTTCATTTATATTTATTTTAATATGTAAATGTTGCAATGTTCTGGAATTATGTTTCATGCGAATGAATGAGTTACAAGACCTATGATATGGAATATAGATATGAAATGTGAATTATTTATAATATGATATATGATTGTGTTTTGCTAGGTAATTTGTCGGTCAAGACAAGGATGTCGCCCAACTGCTACCAGGAGCCCATTAATGTGAGTAATAATATTGTGAAGATATGTTCATTTATATTTATTTTAATATGTAAATGTTGCAATGTTCTGGAATTATGTTTCATGCGAATGAATGAGTTACAAGACCTATGATATGGAATATAGATATGAAATGTGAATTATTTATAATATGATATATGATTGGGCCCGAGGCTGTTTTGATATTTGATTGGGCCCGAGGCCGTTTTGATAAATGATTGGGCCCAAGGTCGTTTTGATATTTGATTAGGTGCGAGGCTATTTTGATATATGATTGGGCCCGAGGCCATTTTGATATTTGATTTGGGCCCGAGGCCGTTTTGATATACGATTGGGCCCGAGGCCGTTTTGATATTCAATTGGGCCCGAGGCCGTTTTGTTACATAGTGGGCCTGAGGCCGTTTTGTAAATATGATAATGAATAATGTTGTGAATGATGTAAATGTGGAAGAGTATGGTGCTAAGCTCCTTTTAAATCTAGATTATTTACCTGATTCACATCACTTTATTATTACCCATTAAGCTTCGCTCACTCCATATTTTATCTCTATGTAGGTCATCAATCAGGAGACCATCCTTAGGTCAGCCTCAGGAATTCATTTATGAACCTGCTAAGTTAAGCCACCCAAGATGCGTCTCTGTGTTGAGGCTTTAACCTTATATTGTTAGAATTTGTATTTACTTAAGTTTTATGTATATGTGACTAATATATATATATAAATGTATATTAGTGTGTTTACATTGTTTTAATTATTTCAGTTATCATGTATGCACAAGCTCAATGGACATTACTATTTGATTTGCTTCCACTTTAGGCCCCAATGTATTTAAATATTTTGAAATTTTGTCTTTGAGGCCTAAGTACAGGCCGGTCATGGCCTAAACTTTTAGGGGGCAGGTTCGGGTTGTGACATTATGAACCGGATTTTCAAGACTTGTCTTGATGAATTTGTTGTGGTTTTATCGATGATATTTTGATATATTCAAAGAATAGATTTGAACATGAACAACATTTGAGAACTGTCTTGCAAACACTTAGAGAAAAGAAGTTATTTGCTAAACTTACGAAGTGTGAATTTTGGTTGGATGAGGTTGTCTTTTTAGGACATGTCATCAATGGAGATGGAATTTCGATGGACCCACAGAAAATAGAAGCAGTTATAAATTGGCCTACACCAACAAATGTAACAGAAGTCCGCAGTTTCATGGGCTTAGCTAGATACTACAGAGGGTTTGTCAAGAACTTTTCAAAAATAGCTATGCCTCTTACCCAACTGACACGCAAAGGGAAACCATTTGAATGGAACGATGAAAGAGAATCTGCCTCCCAAGAATTGAAAACAAGATTAACTATTGCAGCAGTGTTAACATTGCTCACGGGTACGGAAAACTTTGTGATTTATAGTGATGCATCCTATAAAGGTCTGGGTTATGTATTAATGCAAGAAGGATGGGTAATTGCTTATGCTTCTCGACAATTAAGGCCACATGAGAAGAACTACCCGACACATGACCTAGAATTGGCCATAGTTGTATTTGCTTTAAAAATTTGGCGACATTACTTACATGGAAAAAAATGCGAAATTTATACAGATCACAAAAGTTTGAAATATTTCTTTACTCAGAAAGAGTTTAATATGCGACAGAGAAGATGGCTCGAACCAATAAAAGATTATGATCTTCAAATTCAGTATCACCTTGGGAAAGCCAACACAATTGTTGATGCCTTGAGCAGAAAATCGATAGGAAGTTTAGCTTGCCTACTTACTAAACAGAAAGAAATCTTGCAAGATTTTGAGAAATCTGAAATTGAAGTAATATCACATGAGCAGAATGAGTGGATAGCTGCCATATCAGTCGAGCCAACAATCATTAATGAGATTAAACAAAAACAAAAGGGGGATGAAGTCCTCAAAAAGATAGTTGATGAATTTGAAACAAATCCAAAATCGAGATATAGTGTTGAAAATGAAGTGTTGAAATTTCAAAACAGATTGTGTGTTCCAAATATTCCTGAAAGAGGAGAATTCTCGATGAAACCCATAAATCGATGTTTGCTATGCATCCAGGTAACAACAAGATGTATCAGGACCTAAAGCAGAGTTACTGGTGGCCAAATATGAAATGCGAGATTGCAGAATATGTGTCTAAATGTCTTCAGTGTCAGCAAGTTAAGGCTGAACACCAGAAACCAGCAGGTTTGCTCCAACCTCACCCTATTCCAAAATGGAAGTGGGAACATATAACCATTGATTTTGTTGTTGGCCTACCTCGAACACCTAGAGGTATGGATTCCATTTGGGTTATAGTTGATAAACTGACTAAATCTGCACACTTTTTACCTGTAAAATCTATGTACGATGCATACCAATTAGCTACTATTTATGTTGATGAGATTGTTTATTTACATGGAGTTCTAGTGTCTATTGTGTCGAATAGAGATCCGAAATTTGTATCTAGATTTTGGAAGAGTCTTCAAGTGGCAATGGGAACAGAGTTAAGGCTTAGCACAACGTTCCATCCACAAACTGATGGACAATCAAAACGGACTATACAGACTCTAGAAGACATGCTTTGAATGTGTGCTTTGGATTTTCGAGGGAGTTGGGAGACTTACTTGCCATTGGCTAAATTTGCATATAATAACAATTTCCACTCCAGCATTGGCATGGCGCCATATGAAGCTTTGTATGGCCGAAAATGTAGATCTCCAATATGCTGGACTGAAGTTGGGGATAGAATCTTGCTTGGGCCCGAGCTTGCGCAGACAACTACTGATAAATTCAAAGTTATTCAACAAAGGCTTAAGACAGCTCAAAGCCGACAAAAGAGTTATGCAGATGTTAGGAGAAGGCCTCTTGAGTATGAGGACGGTGATCATGTGTTCATTCGTGTAAATCCGATGAAAGGCCAATTAATGTTCGGTAAGAAGGGTAAACTATCACCTCGTTACATTGGGCCGTTTCAAATTTTGAAAAGGCTTGGTCCAGTTGCTTATAGAGTTGCCTCACTGCCAGGAATGGAACAAATGCACAATGTGTTTCACGTGTCAATGTTGAGGGGCTATTTCCGAGATCCGTTCCACGTGATTAACTATAACTGAATAGCACTTGATGAAAATATGGAGTACGGAGAATAACTAGAACGGATTATTAACTGATAATTGATGCAACTGAGAAACAAATCCATTCCAATGGTAAAAGTGGAATGGAAAGAACATTATGGTAAGGATGCCATGTGAGAGAAAGAAGAAGAAATGTGATAACACTACTCATATTTGTTTCCAACAGAAGGTAAGATAAGTTTGGGGGACCAAACTTCCTAAAGAAGGGAAGAATGTGACAACACCCAACTCTGTATTATGCTAATTAATCTTAATTATGCTTATAATTATGAACTTGATATAATTTTGAATGTTAATTATATGATTATATGTGTTTTTGAGTTTCTATCTATTCACCGTAGGAAAATCTATCTGATTTTCAGTTATAAATTTTAATTGAAGACCATAGAGATGATAGAAACTAAAATTGGCCGTATTAATGTGATTAGCATAATTTTTAAAGCCTATGACGAAATTTAATTAAAAACTGATTCAGATCAAAATAATTAGATTAAATTGATTAAATTAAATACAATTGATTAACCTTCATTAAGATGGATTAGTTTAAGCTAATCACTTAGTATGTATATAATTATTCACACTTAGGCACCTCATTTTGACTTCAAAAATCTAAAGATACACTTTAGAGAGAGAGAGAGGGAGCTGAATTTGAGAGAGAGGGAAACTCAAGATTGGAGATTTGAACTAAGAGCTTGAGACATGGAAGCTAGGCTCAAGAATTAGCCATAATTGGAAGGGTTGAAGCTTTTAGGTGAGTAATTGAACTCAAATTCCTGAGTTTAAGTTCATAACTAAGTGAATTCAAAGTATATGTGAAGTTTAATACACAAACTAAGCTAATCTTGGTGAATTTGAGATCATTGGATGCATGCATGTAAGAATTGGCCATGATTTTGCATATTTGAATGTAAAGCATGTAGATTATATTTCATTGAGGATTGTTTGATACATGCATGTAAGAAATTTCATGTATTGAGGCTTAGTTTTAAACCTTGAAGCTCGTTTATGCAAGATACAAAACATGGGTTGTATATATATGTAAAGTTCATGTTTTAAAACCATTACATCCTTGGAATTTTGAATTATGGTTGAAAGTTCTCTTTGAAATTATGTTTTTAGGTGTATTCTTGCATGTTTGAATGAGTTATACATGAATTGGACATTTGAAGATGTGTTTTGAGCTTCAAAAAGAATTATGGAAAACACAGAATTCCATTTGTCTGCTCGAGCGAGAAAAGTGTCGCTCGAGCGTGAAAGTTGAGCTCCTAGAAGTTTTGTACAGTTTTGCAATGTGGCTCGAGCGGCAAACTCTATGCTTAAGCAAACCCTGTTTTGCAAAATTCTCCGCTCGAGCGTTGAGAATCTCGCTCGAGCATGAATTACACGCAACCAGTACTTTTGCAGACCAAAGGGGTCTACTTGAGTGACCAAAACCACACTCAAGTAGAGAGCTCTGTTTTAGAAATTTTGAAAAGTCATTTTATGATTCATTTTCTGTTCTCTTTCATTTCTAAGCACTCTTAGGCATGCATTGGACATTCTAAATGAATTAAAGGACACGAAAGAAGCCTAAGAGCATTAAGCAAATTAAAGAACGGATTGAATTGTATTATAACCCAATGTGTTATGAATTATGTAGGGTCAAGTGCAAGGATGAATCAAGCACCGGAATACTGTGAGTAATACTTTAGTAAAGACATGTTTGAATAGGCTATTTGTGTTAATACCACTCATGTGTAAGTGTTCTGAACGTATGAATTCGAATTATGGATGAGTGTTCTCCTTGTCTAATTGTGTAAGACTATAATGAAGTTGATAAGTATGAAATCACCTGAATGGACCAAAGGTCGTTTTGAACGAATATGAAATGGGTCTAAAGGCCGTCTTGTGTATTAGCTTACATGGACCATACGTCGTTCTGTATATATAAGAAGTGGGCCCAAGGCCATTTTGTATAATTATTGAATGGGCCAAAGGCTGTTCTGAATGAAGGAATGATTGGACCTGAGGTCGTTTTGGATTGAATACAGAAATGAATATGAACATGATCATGGATCATGAGTACGCATAAATGCAAAAATGGATTAGATGGACCCAAGGTCGTTCTGTGTGTAAATTGTATCCAAGGTTTCTTTACATATGATGGACCTATGGTCATTTTACATACATTGGACCAAAGGTCATTTTGTCTATGAATTGGACTTAAAGTCATTTTTCACATAAGGGACCAAGAGTCGTATTGCAAGCATGAGATGGACGCTAGGTAGTTTAGTACATGAATATGGATGAGACATGCAATATGTTGAACCTAAGGTCGTTTTGCATTGGTATTGACCGACGAGTTTGAGTTATAACCTATGCATGAGGGCAAATGTGTAATAAGCATATATGTCTTCCAACCCCATTTCTTTCTCCCTTTACCCGTTTATGATGGATAGTTTAGAGCATCATATTTCGTTTAGCATTTCTCATGATTTGCATCCATTGTCTTGCATGCATTAGGCTTGGCACATCATTCTGACTCACATTGTTATTAATTCCTTCTTTGAAATGTGCTCAAACCGCATGTTATCAAGTTGATTCACATGTCATGTTAGTAGCCGAGCCAATTTAAATTGCATATCGCATGTGTTGCATTAGTCATGTTGCATTAGTTAGGAATATGCATATTTTCTAACTCTTTTGTTTCTTTTGGCTTGCCTTGAAGTATGAAGTGAACACCTTTTGCTTTAACATATCGCATTGCAGACACCTCATTTTTGACCGTCCTCAAGATTTGGATGTCACCGTTTGAACACTTGATGATCATCTGTCACGACCCAACCCCAGGGGCTTAGAGTTGAGATCGTAACTTACTAACTTATTCTTATTCGAAGCAAAATTAAGCTGCGCAAATAAAAATAATTAAACAGAAATTTTACTACATCTTATTATTTAAGAAAGAGGAAATACATTTCTCGGGCTTTCATTATTTTATTATTCAGTGACCAGCCCCGAATAGAAACAAAAGGGAGCAAAAATACAAAAAAAGAAAGAAAGATAAAATAGTGATTCAACATCAGTCCATGAGTAGGTTCCATTTGGTGGGGTTATGGGTTCCCTTTACATCTCGTCACCTGAAAGGGTAACAGCTATAAGCACACAGCAGAGTGAGAAATATTATGCCAAGAGTGTAGGAAATACAAAATAACCAGGAATAATTAGTTAGGCTAAAATATCTGCATAATTTAATTTAAATGACAATTTATTTAAAGTGGCAGAATACAGAAATTATGTAAATAAATAATCATAATCACGGTATAAAACAGAACAGAACGGAAATCACAGAAGTGACAGTTAGAATAGAGGTCAACGGATCCATGACAAACAGAGGACCACAAAGTGGTCAAACAGAGGCGAGTGGTTATTTAAGTCTCCCAAGGCGTAGGACTCCCGTGGTGGTACTTACAAAATATAATTGTTTATAAGGTTATAGTCAAATATATACTAAAATTTAAACAAACATATCAATGGATTTCATTTTAAGTAAATAGAGTTTAAAAAGTAACCCACGTAACTGAAATATTTATAAACATAACTTTTATTTATATAACTCAATAAATATAACTTGTATAAAATAAACTATGGTAACTCAAAACATTCATAAAACATATAATGGTAAATCAAGGTATAATATACCTCACCTTAATTATAACCCTTAACCTTACTTTACTATCAGAACTTCCCTACTATAAGTTCCTTACTCTTCTCTCTCTCGGTTTTTCTTTCTTCTCTTTCCTTTCTTTTTGTTTTCTTTTTCCTCTGTTCAATACGTTTTTTCAGCCCAATCCACCCTTATATACCCACCAAGCCTAAGGATGATATAATTATCCTATTGGGTGACTCACCCTCTCTTATACTTTGGAGAGCCCAAATGGCATATATGCATTTGCCCAGCACACATCAAGCCCTTAATTACCTAGATTAGCAAATCCTTCATAATCTGATATGAATTTAATTCCAAGATCTGTTATCATTCCATAGATATATTATATTTATTATATCTATTTGTTTAGCCTATTTATTTATTTACTATTTTATTTTATTTTATTTTAATTTGATCCAACTAGTATTAGAATTTCATATTTCTGTTAATTTGGACCTAAATAAAAATCCCTAATTAATCCCATATAACCTAGTGCTAAATAAGATTCTGTATTTATTATTAATTATTAATTATTTAATAATATATATCACTGTAGACATCCCATTTTTGACCGTCTTCAAGACTTGGACGTCACCATTGGAACACTTGGTGATTACCCTTGTTTGTGTTCGTCTTGAGTTCCCGGAGGTCTCGGTTGCGCGCCTGACCTCAGGATCTCTCGACTCGACCGTGTTGTGTTTGGTTTTGCACCAAACACTTGTGTTTTGCCTTGGAGGGGCAGCGAATGCCTTGTGAGGCATCCCCACACATCACCGGCCATGGCTTGAGGCCACCGACCAGTGATTTTGTTCCATCGGCAATGTATATTGCCGATCGGCACTCTTTGTTGCTGGTCAGCCATTTATTTTGCCAAAATGGCAATTTTGAATGGCCGATCATTGTTCATCTACTTTTGGTAGATATTTTGTGCCAGCTGTGATAGCTGGCACCCACTCTGCTCCCCTCCACACACGTGTATGGAGGGATTTCTCTCTTGGCAATCTTATTTGACAAGCTTTACAAGAGAGAGCTCTATAAGAGAGTCTCCTCTCTTGGCATTGGGGTTAGACAACATTTTAGAGAGTTTTGATATTAGGGTTAGGAACTTGTATCTATTCCATCTCTATATTTCCCTCTCTTGTTAGTTTAGTGTGTTTTTGGTCATACTTTTGCACACAAACACCCACCATTACACCTTCTCTTGGTTATTGAGGGCCAAAGGAGTGTTCTTGGAGTTCTTGGAGCTGGTTTGGAGCTGAAGAAGCTGCTGGAGCTTCATTTGTGAAGAAAGTTATTTATGTATGTATTCAACCTAACATCACCACTAATTTCAATTATTGCATTTTTTTGTATGTGATTTTTAATGGAAAGCATTTCTGTATTTAATATAATGTATCACCATGATTTTTGTATTCAATTTCCACATTTTGTGAATTCAATCTTAATGAAAAGCACACCACTACCATTTTTGTACACAAGGTATTCTTATTAAAATAAAAAAAAAATTACACACACACATATGTAAAAATATATACGAATATACTATTAATTTACCAAGTTATGTATTTATGAGCGAACTAGTGGGGTGTTTCATGTGTAAGTGTTCTGAACGTATGAATTCGAATTATGGATGAGTGTTCTCCTTGTCTAATTGTGTAAGACTATAATGAAGTTGATAAGTATGAAATCACCTGAATGGACCAAAGGTCGTTTTGAACGAATATGAAATGGGTCTAAAGGCCGTCTTGTGTATTAGCTTACATGGACCATACGTCGTTTTGTATATATAAGAAGTGGGCCCAAGGCTGTTTTGTATAATTATTGAATGGGCCAAAGGCTGCTCTGAATGAAGGAATGATTGGACCTGAGATCGTTTTGGATTGAATACAGAAATGAATATGAACATGATCATGGATCATGAGTACGCATAAATGCAAAAATGGATTAGATGGACCCAAGGTCGTTCTGTGTGTAAATTGTATCCAAGGTTTCTTTACATATGATGGACCTATGGTCATTTTACATACATTGGACCAAAGGTCATTTTGTCTATGAATTGGACTTAAAGTCATTTTTCACATAAGGGACCAAGAGTCGTATTGCAAGCATGAGATGGACGCTAGGTAGTTTAGTACATGAATATGGATGAGACATGCAATATGTTGAACCTAAGGTCGTTTTGCATTGGTATTGACCGACGAGTTTGAGTTATAACCTATGCATGAGGGCAAATGTGTAATAAGCATATATGTCTTCCAACCCCATTTCTTTCTCCCTTTACCCGTTTATGATGGATAGTTTAGAGCATCATATTTCGTTTAGCATTTCTTATGATTTGCATCCATTGTCTTGCATGCATTAGGCTTGGCACATCATTTTGACTCACATTGTTATTAATTCCTTCTTTGAAATGTGCTCAAACCGCATGCTATCAAGTTGATTCACCTGTCATGTTAGTAGCCGAGCCAATTTAAATTGCGTATCGCATTTGTTGCATTAGTCATGTTGCATTAGTTAGGAATATGCATATTTTCTAACTCTTTTGTTTCTTTTGGCTTGCCTTGAAGTACGAAGTGAACACCTTTTGCTTTAACATATCGCATTATAGACACCCCATTTTTGACCGTCCTCAAGACTTGGACGTCACCGTTTGAACACTCGGTGATCATCTGTCACGACCCAACCCCATGGGCTTAGAGTTGAGACCGTAACTTACTAAGTTATTCTTATTCGAAGCAAAATTAAGCTGCGCAAATAAAAATAATAAACAGAAATTTTACTACATCTTATTATTTAAGAAAGAGGAAATACATTTCTTGGGCTTTCATTATTTTATTATTCAGTGACCAGCCCCGAATAGAAACAAAAGGGAGCAAAAATACAAAAAAAAAAGAAAGAAATATAAAATAGTGATTCAACATCAGTCCATGAGCAGGTTCCATTTGGTGGGGTTATGGGTTCCCCTTACATCT